AAGAGCAATGCGTTTGTTTCCACCAAAACAAAATCAGGTGTCACTCCAGTAAAAGAAAGAATCACCTAATGTGTTGAACATTTGGAGAACTTTATCAAATTCACAGAAAGCCTTTTTCCCTGAGTTGTTTTGAGGGAAAGACGTTGACTCTTCATTATGTGTATTCTGTTGGCGTCACACACTAAAAAAAATGCTTAAACATTTTATTATTAATATAAAAATGTTTGCCATTTTTGTGGAGGTCTGCACTCAGAGTGCCTTCTATATAATTTTAAAAGCATTTATTGATCAATAGCTGCGGAAAAATCAATTTATCTAAAAAAACAACTCAAGGCATATAAAAACTTTTTCACAGCACTGTAGTCTCCCCCAGAAACCATATGGGCTTTACAAAAGCAATAATGGGGCGCTGTCAGGGATTTCTTTAACTCATAAAAAGTACAACAATATCTTTATGTGTGGTTTGTGTACAAAGTGGAGGGTGCAGAGTCATGTGGATGCTATTTGCAGTTGGGAGGCAGATAGTAGGGGTGAAACAGTCTCTCATGGCTGCAGATGTGCAGAGCGGCGTGCGTGTGCAACAGTAACCGTGGAAACCGTGAGGTGAAGTAGCTGACGAAGCCTTCGGGCAGCTCGCCGAGAGTCCTGCACCTCAGGTGGCAACTCGTGGTAGTGATGCTTCTGTAACATGCAATGTTAACTGATGTTACTGATGTGTCAAAGTGTGTCTACTTGTATTAAAAAAAATGTCATGTAAGCATGCACGCTGACCTTGTTCCTCATGGCTCTCAGAAGATCTCTGACTGAATTTCCTTTGTATGTCCTGAACCGCCTCAAGTCTGGAATGTGCACAGGAAGAAATGGATTACAAACCAGTGACAGCTTTGTCATCCTGCACAGGTGTAAACAGTACAGTTATGTGATACTATGTGTGTACCTGTCTGTAGAGGCACAGATATGTGCATCCTCCAGTTGGTTCGAACCACTGCTCTTCCTGCAGTCTCCAGTCTGACCACAATCGGGCTGTCTGCTGGTTCCTTCTCTATGCGGTCACTCACGTCCTACATACACACCACATACAAAAAATTGTTTTGCAGTTCACAGACAGGCACATGAGGCTAAGTAAAAAGGGACACACAAACCACACATCTCCTCCTTGCACATTATGATTATCAAAAAATAAACATCTAATGAGAGCTGTACCTTTGTGTATCCAGGACCAAGATGAACAAGAGAGATTTAGCACACCTGGAAAAAGAGCAGCTGCTTCTCGGGGTGCCAGAAGAACGGATGTTTGAGCACACAGGTGGTGGAGGGGCGGGACTCCGGCTCAGCGCTGATCATTTGCTCATCAGGTCCTGTGCTATGACGTCATCTGGATTTGAGGGAGAAATGGTCTTCAGATTTTCATGTATTATATCATGTCTGAATATTCATGTGCAAAACACAACCTGCACCACTATTCTGTTAAATTTTGCAATTACAGCAATGTCTGAAAATTGTACGTAAACCATAAAGAAATTGTGATTATTTAAGGGATCATCATAAGGGGTCAGAGCTCAAGTCATAGCAAGAATCCCAAATCCATAATATAGATGTATTCAAATCTCTCCAGGCTTAATCTTGAAGAACAAGCATACTGAATTTCTAATAAACAATATCATCATCAACAAACTACTATAGAGTTAAAACTGGATAAATGTCGTAAATCCCCACCAATTATCTCTACTTAACAAATGCCAGGAATTCCAGGAAACCCGTTTTATTTTTTCATCAAGGTCAAGGTAAGATGTGAAGGAGAAGTCATAAGGACTCACTGTGTAGATCCTCCATAAAATGCGAGAGTGAATATTCTCCTGCGAGGATGTTGATCTGTCGTCTTAATGCATCACCAAAAGGGTGCTGCCCCTTGCTGACCACGTAGTAGAACACACAGCCTGCTGAGAACGTCCACTGCCGCTGTCTGCAGAGAGAAGAGGATAACACTGGAACAGAGGACCAAGAAATACAGACACTGTACTACAAAACAAAACATCCATATCTCCTACATCAGAGGTTTCAAACAAGTAATCAATATTTATAGGACATTTGGCACTCGCTCCATGCTTTTAAATATAAAAGTCCAAAATTTGAAACGTTTTATCATCTATAACTACAATCCATTTTTCTCGCTGTGGGCCTTTTAGCCAACAAGATCTGTGACTGCTCAAAGCAAGACAATCCTGCTGTATGCAATATGTGTGCGCACCCTACCGGTTTTTTGATAGAAGTTTCCCGCAGCACTTCTGGAGCTATCCACCCTCAGTTCCTGGTATTCCTGACCGCAAAGAGAAGCTGGTCCGACCATCTGGGATCTTCTTACAGAGCCCAAAGTCAGAGATTAGAGCTCGGACCCGACCCAGCGCACTGGGACCAGAGAGGAGGATGTTTCTAGGCTTCAGGTCACGATGAACTACAGGAAGAGCAAAGAAAAAAAATTTAGTTTTCCA